ATTATCCCTATATATGCTGATTAATGCCTGTTGAAATTTTAAACACTAATCTCAAAATGCACTTGGTGAATAGATCAGTGGTGTTTTCTATTAACCTTGAAGGTTACTTGAAAATGCTGATGAAAATCATCCCATGTCAACACTGCAATTTCATACAAAGCAATTGTGCCAGGTAATTAGAAATTCCTGCTGCCTATGCTTAAACACCCTAATAATAAATGAGTATCTGGATGATGATTTGCTCATATTTGTGTTTTAACCTTAAAAGGTTGCTGAAATACTCTGGCATTAATGAAAGTAAACTTTGACTAGCAACATGATCATGAGCCAGATAGCAAGGAAGTGCTGATTTTTAAACCCAGGCCATGTCATTCACTGCTTTCTCTGATTCTGTTTCTCTATCTGTAAAATGAGACTAACAGGACTTAATGGTCTGCCTCACAGAGATGTTGGTAAATGTTTGCAAAGCTATCAACATAAAAAGCATGATATAATCACTAAGCATTAATGTACACCATTTGTTAATGCACTTCAGCTCAAGGGCCTCTATGCCACTTAAACAACAAGGAGTCTGGTGACACCTTAAAGACTAAATCCTGCATAGAGAGTGCATTGGAGTGGTGGAGAAACCGTGGAGCCCTGGGAAAGGGTCTTTACCCCAACTTTGCACAGTCAAATATGGAAGGTCACAATGGGGCCAGGCAAGGGAAGGGACCCCAGAATCACTTGAATCTGAGCAGAGGTCGGTGAAATTTTTCAGACCAATAGTATATAAATCAAAAATGCAGTTTTGGGACGACTATTAAGGAATTGGACACATACACTGAATCGTGTCAGCCAAAAAAAAATTTAAAAATTGGGGTGTAGATTCACAAGGGCACTTGTAAATATCTAGCCCTTCATTTATTTTACTTTTATTACAAGTTAAAAATGCCCAAAATCTAAACAAAATTTTTCTGACTTTTTTGCTTCACCAAAAATTTTGAAAAACGTCAGTTTTGGTTTGACCAAATTCCGTTTTTTTTATTTGAACTGCCAGTGACCTGAAAAATCAGTTATTCACTCAGGTCTAAACAGAAGTCCCATAGCATCTGCCCCAGGGGGCTGCACCAACTGTCCAGCGCCACAGCCTGGCTCATGGTTGGGAGTGAGAGATGGATTTATCCCCGCAACCAGTGCACACTAACCCTGCACGGTGCCTGAATCCTCTGTGTTCTTAGCTATTAAGAATTCCGCAACATATTTTAAAATAAGAAAAACTAAATAGAAGGTTAGGTATTTTTGAAGACTTTTGTGGCTGCACAAATTAATGACTTGTTTATTTCTTGGAAGTCGTGATTTTAAAACAAAACTATAAGGTTACTTGTCTTGAATGAGTTGCTATAGGGAGTTAGAAAATTGCAGTATAATAATTTTTTCCAGCCAATTGCATTTCAATTACAAGGGTCAGTTGATTATGTCTCTCGTGTTATATTCTTTTAGAAAAAGACCTAAAATATTTTAAACTAAAATAAGGACAAGACATATGGTTGGAGCATTTACTGGTGGTTGGAGCATTTGGGAATACACTGGAATCTATTCTGACTCCGTTTGTGATGATCTTGCTCTGAGATCAATGGGATACAAGTCAAGCTCAAATGTCTGTAGCACTGACTAATGTCCTTCCTAACTGATTAAGGCTAGTGGGGAAGAGCTGTGTATGGAGGTGCATGGGTGTGGTGTTCTGTCCCATCTAGTGCCACCGAGACCACTTAGAGAGATTAATGAATTTGCTCTACACGCCTTAGCTAACAGCCAGTTGGCTTTTAGCTCTTGCTGTAGAGGCTCATGCACTAAGCTCCAGAAGTCTCAGGTTCGATCCTGCCCCCCGATGACCAGGGTCTGTCACTGTTACACATGGTCAGGGCTGGCTCCAGGCACCAGCGTAGGAAGCTGGTGCTTGGGGCGGCCAATACAAAGGGGCGGCACTCCGTCCAGTATTGGGGCGGCACGTCCGGGTATTCGGTGGGAATTCGGCGGCGGGTCCCTCATTCCCTCTCTTCCTCTTTGAGCTGCCGCTGAAGAGGAAGAGAGGGAGGACCCGCCGCTGAAGAAGCGGCGTGACTGAGCTGCCGCCGAAGTGCCGCCGCTCGTCTTTTTTTTTTTTTTTTTTTGCCGCTTGGGGCGGCAGAAAAGCTGGAGCCGGCCCTGCACATGGTGTCCATTTTAGGACATCTCAGGAGTTATGTAAAAGAGATCCAGTATTAGAGATCAGATATACTTAAGTCTGACTCCTGATCCTGGATTCCTGACTCTTGATGCCTGAGACTTATAATGTGGAGGTAGCAAAAGATGGTAATGGGAACAGTCTCCTCATCCAAGTGTCTGCCTTGTTGGTGCTGCAGGTTTCTATCTTCTCTTATTCCCTAATGTGTTCATGAAGCAGATAGTGATTGGTGCAGGTTTAAACTGATGTATCACCAACCATGCCTCTTACTGCCTCACCACTGAGGTCTTCCTCACAGCAGTTTGGCAGGCATTTTTGCTTTAATTATTAATAATAATTTGTGTAGCGTTCACAAAGAATTTACAAAGGGCCAATCCCTGAGGTTTGAGTTTTCCTGGATAAAAACTGAGTAACACCAGTGCCAAACCAAGCATTCAGTAATCATGCCTCAGGCCCACAAAAATCATGAGACTAGCTTAAAAATAATGAAAATTTAAAAATCCTCAATTTTGTGTTTTTTATATTTGCCTCCTGGTTTTTGAGTCCTTTGGGTTCGTGTTTTTGAGCTTTTCTCAATAGCCACGAGGGCTAGAAAGTTAGCTTTTCTTAATGAAAGCTAAGATTGTCATGTAATCACATCACTCCAGAAGTTGGGGCTCCAAGAAAAACACCTTGCGTTGAGAGACTGGCAATCAACTCAAAAGAGTTTTTGGCAACATGACGGCACCCTTGTAAGCACCTCCCTGAAGGGTACTGAAGCACCACCCTCCTCTGCCCCCCCTGGATCCTTCAATCACAGGTACTCTATCCTCCTCCTGAACCCCTCCTATAGTCTCCTAATTGCCCTCCATGCCACAGGCTCCCTGCGTCTCATCCTCTGAACACATCATGCCAGGGGTTCTTTTGTCTCCCCAGTGAGGGAGCCTCTCCTCCATCACAGAGAGAACTTATTTTCCTTTCCCCCCAGAAGGAAGTGGAACAGCTGCGTGTCTTCTCTCTTTCTCTTCCTCCTCCACCAAACATGATGCAGGATATGGCGGGGCAGCTTGTTGGGAGGAAAGAAGAAAAGGAAGCTCTCCTCTAGGCTCTTCTCGTTCCCCTTGCTGACTGAGCATGGAGGTGTTGAGTGGAGTTTTTATTTCTGAGAGCTGTTCTCACACAGCAGAGGGGTTGCGGGCTGGCTGCCCGCTGCAGCTGACAGCAGCACTTTTGGCTTTGGTGCTGAGGATCTCTCCACACCAGTCTGAGAGTTAGGAAGGAAGCGGGAGGCAAGAGAGTCCTATTTTCCTCTCTTAGCATCCCCCCTGAAATTATACCTCTGCCTGGAAAAAGTAGCTTTTAAGACAGGGAGAGATGGTGCTTGGCTGACATGAAGAGACAAACTGTTCCAAGAGATCATAGGAATCTGTGTTATTGAAGGCCTGATGCCAGGAATGGTATCGTGGACCCTGACAGGGTCATTTTTGTCTCTCCAGCAGGGGGTTTGAGCAGCTGCAGCTGTTGGGACCGATCAGGACATGACAGTCAGTCACAAGCAGATGGAGGGAGCAGTTCAGAAAAGGGATTGGGAGCACCACAGGTGGTGAATAGGAGAGTTGGAAGATATAAAAGCAGTGATGTAGGCTGTGTGAAATTAAGTGGGGAGTTGTGGGAATGTAGCAGGATTTAATGTGTTTTATGGACAAGAATCCAGTGACAGGATTAAAGTGAGGGAGGAGATATGGACAAACATTGTAAGTGGAAGATGACATTAGCAATGGCATGAATTAGGATATTTGGCTTAAGTTCACCTATACAAAATTAAGCATTCGATGCTTGTATTACATTCTTTTTTCTGTACAATCTACAGTATTTTGTATTTTCAAAGTCCTTTTCTTTTCTTTTTTCATTCAAATGAAACAGAAAAAAGTGTGTACCAACAATAACATCAACTTTGTTTTAAATTCAGGAGAAGTGTTGAAATTGAACTCCTCATCATTTTTTACCTTGTGTATTAATACTTCTTTATGACTTATAGTATGTTTTTTTAAATGTTCTGTGACCTTACAGCTGACATTGTGTTCTCATTAGTTTATCAATAGTCAGAATTTCATCTAATTATATGTAGTTGTCCTATGTAACAGACTGATTAGCAATCAATAATGATTCTAGAAGAACACCATTTATTCTGGGTTTTGCACTCTCACCTGAGTGGAAGTCAGATATTCACTATTTTATTGCCTGGTGTACTACCAGTATTGATGCTCTTTGGTTTCTTTTGAGTGTAAAGCAAGATGGAAAGCTTTCTAGTGTCCACGACTTTTGGAAGTCCCACTTCTTGGTAATAAAATAGCCTAAAAATAAGCCTCAGTAATACTTTAGTAAAATTTTATCCTCTTTATACCTACCACCCAAACTCTTCGAACCTGAAACTAACCTGGGTGGTGTAGACCCATTGTAGCCTTCTGTGATAACACATTTTATATTTGATAAACGTTTTTCTTTTAATATAGTCAAATATAATACTATATATAATCACATTTTATTTTAGAATTGATACAACAACAAGTTAACATTTCTAGCTGTATTCAGTTTTGAATCACCAGTGTACAACCCATAGCAGCGGTATAGATCAGAGCTAGATTCTGATCTCATGTATGCCAGTGTAAGTCCCAAGAGCCGCCATTGGAGTTGATGATGTTACTTGGAATTTACACCAGTGGAAATGAAAGCAGAAGTTGGCCATAGAACGCTTGGAATGTATCTGTATAGCATACTTCTAATATTTTAATAGTAATCTCTGTTTGAATTTTAGGCACTTTTCATGTCTGTCTTCTAAATACATGTGTTCTGGAGTTCCAGCAGTGATGAGTACCTTGTTGGCCAACATAAATGCTTTTTATGCTCACACTACAGCTACAACTAATGTGTCTGCCTCAGATCGTTTTGCTGCTACCAACTTTGGTGTAAGTATAATTTCTTTACCCTGGCAATATGATAGAATTCCCAGTATCTACTTTCTAAGAGTTGATGTAAGTATGGAACCTATGACATTAGGGATGATAATATTTTCAAAAGTGTCTAAGGCTGTATCTACACTTGGAGCTAGGGTTGTGATTCCTAGCTCTCATTGGGCTAGCATGCTAAAAATAATGGTGTAGCCACAGTAGCATGGGCAGCAGCGAGTAGCAGCATGGACTAGCTACCCCAAGCACGTACTCATAGGGGCCAGGTGTGTTTGTACTTGAGCAGCTAATCTGTGCCACTACTTACTGCTGTCCGTGCTACCTTGGCTACATTACAATGTTTGGTGCTCCAGCTCAATAAAAGCTAGTGTGATTATATCTGCACAACCCTAGCTCCAAGCCTAGCAGTACCCTTAGTTACTTCTGAAAAAGAGACTTAGGTGCTTTTGAAAATTTTGCCCTGGGTCTCTTTGATAAGTTAATATTAGCATGCTGCGTACTTTGGTCACATCTTTTTTTAAACTCTTACATACATAAAGATTGGCATGCACATTATTTGTGACATTTTCAATGAAATTCACATCAGAAGAATTTTGGTTTGATTTAAGGTAGAAGCTTACAAACTCATCACAACTCTATATTAAAATCGATAGACCAGTACCTCAGATGGGATATTGGACGTACTTGGACCTAATGGATCTGGCCCTAAATCATCAGAATAGAACCTTCAGGGCCATTAGCATAAGAATATTTTTGTAGTGACTGTCTTTAAAAATGTGCATTTTTTGCAATTTTGCATAAGTCAGTAATAGAGAAACATTATAATGAAGATTCAGCATCTTTTCAGATGAGAGTGTTACCATCATTAGTGGAGACACCAACTAAGATTTTTCCCTCTAACTAGTTACAGGAATAATTCTACATATATAATATGTATATGTAGCCAAAGAACTCAGAGTAGGTGTCTTTCCTTTGTCTCCATCATTAGGGAAAGTGCTTGCAATAAATCTTTCATCTAAGAAACTAAAAATTACACCTTCTGTTTCAGGTTCGGTACTGAACTCTCTTTCTGAACGCCTCTCTTTTGTAGAAGTACATGGCATCATGGCATGACTATTAGAAAACACAAATGATCAAAGTGTGCCAATCCTGTATAGGGAAAGTGAAGTTAAACATGATATTTCTGTTTGGTATAACTGGAATGGCTCTTAAAGTTAGACTCCGGGTAGAATGATTTTAAATAGGTTCATACACTATACAAGACAAGAAAGATGGCTTATCAAGGGTCGTTTTCAGTTGTTGAAAACTCAGTATGGAATTAGAGTGTTCTGCGTACTAAGGGCGAGATCATGAGATAATGTAATACCTACTCTCAGGAAGTGGCAAAGCAGCCCAGGAGGGAGATCATGACTCTCCTGGTTCCCCAGCACCTTCAGGGAGGGAGCAAACTGTGCTGTGTCAATACCTGGCATAGTGTGTACTGCCCAGTGCTTTGGTAGTGGTAGAACTAAGGATCTGCTCATTTCTCCAATCTCCACTTCCCTTCCCCTAGCTACACTGGGGAGGTTGGCGAAGGAAGGGAGAGTAGCAGCTCTGGGGAGCCTGCTTCCACTCCCACACTACTACTCATGATGTGGGTAGCCAAAGAACGGGCACAAACACAATTTGACCCTGAATAATTAATATATTCATGCTTCATTTTTTTTAGTTTGCATTGCTATTATTTGTATGGTAACCATTTTTAAGGAATAATCCTCTGATTCATTACCAAATGCAAACACACACTAATGATTTCTAAAATATTATTTATTAACATCTATTTTAATAAATTTGGGATTTAATCAAATATCAAACACAATATTAATGAAGAACAAATTGCAGCTGCATGAAGCACTGTCTAGCGATTAGGGCTGTCTAGCGATTAAACAAATTCATCGCGATTAATTGTGTGATTAAAATAATTAATTGTGATTAATTGTGTGATTAATTGCACTGTTAAACTAAGTGTAATGAAAATATTTCCACTTCTGCATGATTTTCAAGGGCATTATTATCAAATAATAAAATTTGGTGTTTTTTGTTTGTTTATTTTTTACAACAGAGGACACAATTTTCAGACTATGGCCAAGAAAATAATTCCATCTGTGCCTGAAACAAATTTTTTGTAAAGAAAATTCATTCCGAGCATTTTTCCACAGTATGCAGTAAATCAAATTTAGATTCATAACTGTATTATGTACAGCGTTATTACATATTTTCTCCATGAAGGGCCTTGCATGCTTAAATCCCCAGTTTGGTGGCAGTGTCTCCCAAGACTGGGATTCAAACTCAATGCACCTCAGTTTTCCCCTCTATAAAAGGGTAATAGTGATACCTGTTATTGTGAGAATCTGTAAGATTTATAGATGAAAAGTACTATCTGACTATACATTACTACTATTATTTAATTACTATGTTACCAAATATTCTAGTGATGAAACTTAGATGTGTTTATTCAGGTTCTAATTTTAAAAGTACATTGATGGTTTGTTATTAGGGCTGTCTAGCGATTAAAAAAATTAATCGTGATTAATTGTGCGATTAAAATAAGTAATTGTGATTAATCGTGCAATTAATTGCACTGTTAAACAATAATAGAATACCATTTATTTAAATAGTTTACGATGATTTCCACATTTTCAAATATATTTATTTCAATTATAACAGAGAATACAAAGTGTACAGTGCTCACTTTATATTTATTTTCTATCACAAATATTTGCACTGTAAAAAACAAAAGAAATCGTATTTTTCAATTCACCTAATACAAGTAACGTAGTGCCATCTCTTTATAATGAAAGTTGAACTTACAAATGTAGAATTATGTACAAACATAACTGCACTCAAAAACAAAACAATGCAAAACTTTAGAGCCTACAAGTCCACTCAGTCCAACTTCTCGTTCAGCCAATCACTAAGACAAAAAGTTTGCTTACATTTGCAGGAGATAATGCTACCTGCTTCTTGTTCACAATATCACCTGAAAGTGAGAACAGGTGTTTGCATGGCACTGTTGTAGCCGGCGTCGCAAGATATTTACATGCCAGTAAAGATTCATAAGTCCCTTCATGCTTCAGCCACCATTCCAGAGGACATGTGTCCATGCTGATGATGGGTTCTGCTCAATAACAATCCAAAGCAGTGCGGATGGACACATGTTCATTTTCATCATCTGAGTCAAATGCCACCAGCAGAACGTTGATTTTCTTGTTTGGTGGTTCGGGTTCTGTAGTCCGCATTGGAGTGTTGCTCTTTTAAGACTTCTAAAAGCATGCTCTACACCTCGTCCCTCTCAGATTTTGGAAGGCACTTCAGATTCTTAAACCTTGGGTCGAGTGCTGTAGCTATCTTTAGAAATTTCACATTGGTACCTTTTTTGCGTTTTGTCAAATCTGCAGTGAAAATGTTCTTAAAACGAACAATATGTGCTGCGTTCAGTCACAAATTTAATTAACACGTTATTTTTTTAATGAGCATCATCAGCATGAAAGCATGTCCTCTGGAATGGTGGCCGAAGCATGAAGGGGCCTATGAATGTTTAGCATACCTGGCACGTAGATACCTTGCAATGCTGGCTACAAAAGTCCTTTGTGAATGCCTGTTCTCACTTTCTGGTGACATTGTAAATAAGAAGTGGGCAGCATTATCTGCTGAAAATGTAAACAAACTTGTTTGTCTTAGTGATTGGCTGAACGAAAAATAGGACTGAGTGGATTTGTAGACTCTAAAGTTTTGCATTGTTTTGTTTTTGAGTGCAGTTATGTAACAAACAAAAAATCTACATTTGTAAGTTGCAATTTCATGATAAAGAGATTGCACTGCAGTACTTGTATGAGGTGAACTGAAAAATACTGTTTCTTTTGTTTATCATTTTTACAGTGCAAATATTTGTAATCAAAAATAATATAAAGTGAGCCATGGATACTTTGTATTCTGTGTTGTAATTGAAATCAATATATTTGAAAATGTAGAAAAACATCCAAAAATATTTAATAAATTTCAATTTGTATTCTATTGTTTAACAGTGCAATTAAAACTGCGATTAATCGTGATTAATTTTTCTGAGTTAATTGCATAAATTAACTGCTATTAATCGACAGCCCTATTTGTTATTAAATCATTCTGGCTCTTATACTTTTGTTGAAATGGCACGCTACTGTTTCAACAAAACCCTTTATCAGATGTTTTATGTTTGATCCAGCTTTTGAAATGTAAAGTTTTGCTGTTTATTTCACCATGGATTTTCTCTTCTTTATTTCCATTTTGCTAGTGAGCAGAACATTTTTTTTTATCCTCAGCTTGGAGGGGCAGATTAAGTCCTCTCTCTGATGTTAATGCCAATTTACCTTTGACGCAAATACCAATCCAATTTGTAGTTCAACAGATGGGTAGAAAGACAGTATTAAAACATCCCTAATAGAGGTTCTGGGCTCTGTTTTCAAACAATTGACTTATAGGCAAAATATAAGATTATTTTTCTCATTTCTGAAGCCCTCTGGGTCAGGTTGCATGATAGTGGATAGCTGCACACCATTCATCAAAAAGAACATCCCAAATTCAAGTCCTCAAGCCTACATCTGGGATGGATTTGCCTGAGTATTTCAGTGGAGATTTATAACATGGCAAAAACATCCCCTTGTGTTGAACACTTAATGGAACTGTGCCAGATCAAAGGCTTTACATGTAGGTTAGTACTCCCCTGCCATGCAAGTTATACCATGGTCACATCATTGCATAATTCAGAAGTGTGATAGAGGTCAGAACATATGTTTATGGGTATCAGATCTTGCTACTTCCAATGGTCTGTAGCCTTTACATATTCTGATGGTGTAACTGCATGTTTCTTTGCAATTGGATAAGGGGTATAAGTGTTTCAACACAAAGCATGAAAGGCATACAACTCTCATTAACATTACTGGGACTCACACAGCTCAGTTGTGTGTATTGCACTAAAATTTTACCCTTGGGCCTTTATATGCCAAAATCACAAGTCAATCTCCATTTTCAAAGGGAAAAGCTATTGCTCAGATAGGTTTCACAAGGCCACCATCTCTAATAGGTCATTGTCTGGGTTCACCACAAGAAGGACAGGAGACACTTGTTATGGATTTTAATCAGGCCGCAACTTTATTATATAGATGTCTGGGACTACCCGGCAGATAAAGTGTACAGTGCAAGCAAATCCATATTTATTCAAATCAATTCTCTGGGGCATCCATCAGCTCCCCTTTGTTTCCATCCAGGTCCCCCAGCCGACCCATGGCTTGGACCTTACCATCCACCATCCTCGTAAGAGGGTTAAGGTGGGCTATGAGAACAGGGGGCGTTGGCTCCCTGCCATACCAATCATAGGAGTCCCCAACTCCCTCCCCCATTCTGTATTTTTACATCTTGCTAAAAATCCCCTGTGCAAACAAATAATGTGCCCTACAGTTTTAAAAGGGGCAAGCAGAGTTTTGTAAGGAGCTGAATACAGAAACAGAACAAGCTGATCTTTTCTGACAAGCCACACACCCATCACTGAAAACCTGTGAACTTTAATTTGAATTGATACTGTTGTTGTTCAGAGTCTTCTGACATTATTTTTTCAGTTTCCCTAGGTATTTTTGTTTTAGTTATTTACTTAACAACGCATCAGTTATTAAGATAAAGGAAAGCAGTTTAGGGGAAAGGCTGCTGTGCTTCACTAATGCATTTTAAGGCTGCATGATGGTGAATGAATGCCAGAGATTTGTGCTATATTAGATGAATCATGAAATATGGCAGAAGGCATAACACATTTACGGTTTCTGATAAACTTACTGTTATGTCACACCAATGCTTTTATACAAATAAATTGAAAACTGCACACTTTCCAAACAGATCCAGAATGGAAGGCAGCAGATTGTATGCTTTGTGATAAATGTGTGGGCTGTAGATTTACACACATAACTACAGAAACTTGGCACCCCATTGTGTCTCATGTGCAAATGTTCATGTCTTCTTTGTACAGAGGGAAAAGTTCATAAAACTGCTGGATCAGTTGCACAATTCACTGAGGATTGACCTATCTAAATACAGGGTATGTATAACAGATCCTACTGAGGGACCAAATCATACATTGTTTAGTATAAATATATCAGTGCACTTTATCTGCTTATACCATTTTAGATATGAATATCTAGTCTGACATGAAGTTTGAAAGAATAAAGATGCTCACACTATCACCAATCCTTGAATTAGAATTCAAATTTTAGGACGTCAGTGTTTTAATAAAACCATATTTTCTGATCTTTCTTGAGATTAACAGCTAAGAAAAGAGGGTCATTGTGTGATATTACAATTGGTGAGGCAGTTTTTTAGAGTTTAGAAAATCAAAAGTTTCATTCAGCATAAGTGTCTGTCTGTGGGTTCCTTCAGTGTTGAAGAATGATATCCACTCCCTATCAGACTATAAGGATAGTTGAGTAGTCCTTTGATGGTATGAGGCCATTAAATGACTACCAAAAATGTTTCCTGGGTATCAATCTGCCTGCTAATCTAGGGAACTCTTAGTATTTCACATAAATTCCAATTCATTAAGCTTATTATGAAACTTTATTTCTGGAACTGATTTATATATGAAACTATACTAACTTTATTTCTGGAACTGATTTATATATGATGGAGAGCAAATAAAAGGGTTTCCTTTAAATCACAAACAGTGTTTCTTTAACCTTTTCATTGCAGTATTTTCTATGAGATTTTTAGAATTGGCAATGCAATATTTTAAAACTTACATATTGTTACCACAGGCCCTAAGAGTTCCCAAAATGGTCAGTTTGGGCCTAACTCTGCTCCCATTGATGTCACTAGGCATTTAACCATTGATTTCAATGGGAGTGTAGATGGACCAACACCAAGATAATCCCACCCATTGTGTTTATCGCGTTCTTTGTTTTCCTGGAAGTTTTTTTTTTTCTTAACATTTTAAGGGTCTCGCCCTTAACCTTATACTTATTTCCTTTTCCCCAATTAACTAGGATAATTTTCCTGCCAGCAATTCTGAAAGGCTTCAAGACCTGAAATCAACAGTAGACCTGCTAACCAGCATTACTTTTTTTCGAATGAAGGTACCACACTTTATCTCTGTTACTGGCATCAGAGAAACATAGTGCACATTTATTTTCTAGGAAAGCCACACTGTATTTGGTGCTCTTGATCACCACTATCAAACCTCAATGATTAGGTTGTGCTCTTGATATCTTAGCTTGATGAATCCTGCACTGAGACTTGATTTAAGATACAGAACATCACTGGTTATAGTCTCTAAATATATTTCAGCTGCCTTAGTTTTAAATTAAATCCCTAAGCTTTCTGAAGATCTAGCTAAATGGAAATCTTATACTGAAAGAATGCAAAAGGGAGAGAATGCAGAAGTGCTACAAACTATCTTTATCTTTCTCTGGTTTAACTGAAGAGATATTATTGAACTGCAGCTCCTAAGAATATACAGTAGAACCTCAGAGTTACAAACACGAATAGAGGTTGTTCGTAACTCTAAAATGTTCATAACTCTGAACACAATGTTATGGTGGTTCTTTCAGAAGTTTACAACTGAACATTGACTTAATACAGCTTTGAAACTACTGTGCAGAGAAAAAACACTGCTTTTAACCATCTTAATTAAATGAAACAAGCGCAGAAACAGTTTCCTTACCTTGTCAAATCTTTTTTTAAACTTTCCCTTTATTTTTTAGTAGTTTATATTTAACACAGTACTGTATTGTACAGTGTTTGTTTATTTTGTCTCTGTTGCCTGATTGCATAATTCCAGTTCCAAATGAGGTGTGTGGTTGACCGATCCGTTCATAATTCTGAGGATGTACTGTATGTAACAGCTGTATTTAAAAAAATAATCTTTTGTTCAGTTTTGCTCTTTTGCCACCACTAAAACTAGCTTTGCTCCTGTCATCTTTCTAAGCTTGACAGAGGGTAGACCCAATGTAGTTTTCTTGCCTCCAAAGCCAGGCAAAGATATCCTCTACTATCCAGTGACTTTTGATGTTGAACGGCTCAAACGCTTTGCCTTTGGGTTTTCATCTCTTCAATGCTATGAGCAACTGCTTTGCAAAGAGACCCTTTCATCGGTGGCAGGACTCCAGAAATTGCTTTTCTGATGCAGAAGTTACACCTGAATTAATGCTTTACCTTTAAGAGCACACAGTTGCAAATATTACTCACCTGGTCTGTCAAGTCAGTGCTCTGTTGACTTTTTATCATTGTTCATTAACAAGAAGCCATTCAAGGAGAGAAAGTATTACTTTTCAAATGACACTTGTCCTGTTTGCACTTTGTATCTAGCAGTATTATAAAATAAAAATCATTCTACTGGAGAAAGCAAAATAACCCCCAATCTCTAACATTTGTTTAAACTCAGTTAAAATTAGGTTTAAAGCTTCTCCATTGGAGTAAGATTAGGGCTAGGTTTAGTGAACAGAATAAACTGAAAATCAAACAAAAGCAGCTGCGACATCTAAGGTATTTATCAGGAAGAAAAATGTTTCCTATTATTATTTCAAACATCAAAATGAGGCTAATGACATTAGGCCAAAACCTACTTGCCATAGATATACAAGCAGTCAATGTCAAGGTGATCATGAATAAGGTGAGCAAGATTTCCCCATGATAAGGAAAAAATACACATTGCTACAACTGGCTCAAAATATAGAAACACAAATCAAAATTTTCAATTTTTGTTAATCTAATAGTGTGTTAACAGACACATCCTATTAGTAGCAAGAGTAATATTTCAGTAACACTTATGAGCTTCAGTAATGGACTAGGACTCTATTGGGCTCGGTGCTGTACAAACACAGAACAAAAAGATGGACTATTGAGGTGAAACTCAGCTTAAGTATATGTATTTTAATGGATAGGCTAAATGTTTATAGAAATGAATGCTTTAAAAACTATGTAGCTGTTTGTGCACTAAGACACTGATTCAAAAGGGCATTCCTATTTGGGAAAACATTTAAAGATGTGCTTAGCTGCTTTCCTGAATAAAGGCCTAAAGACAAGATCATGCAATCACTTAAGCATGTATTGTACTTTTCTCATGTGAATAATCCTGTTGAAGTAAGCTTCAATGTGGGACTACTCCTATGCTTAAAGTTAAGCATGTGTTTAAGTGTTTCTCTGGACTGAAGCCACAGTGCATAAATCTATGTACTTTTTAATATTGTATTGATCTTTATTATATTTTATTGCTCCCAATTCTGCATTGGACAGATAACTCACTACACATAATGTACACACTTTTCTAGTCCAGCTGTTTATGAAATTCTCTTATTTTCTGATTTTATGAAATATTCTATAAGGTCCTGGAATTGCAAAGTCCACCTCGAGCCAGTATGGTGGTTAAAGACTGTGTCAGAGCTTGCTTAGACTCTACCTACAAGTATATTTTTGACAACTGCTATGAACTCTATTCCCAGCTAATGGATCAGGTAAGACCAACCCCTTGGAATTTCTCAATGCCTTTGTTCATTCTTTTTTGTTGGTTTATATAAGGCAGGTAATAATACAATAAATACAGAACAAAAAGAAAACAGTTGTCCAAGACATTCAAATAGTCCCATTACATATAAGGACCCTGCCTAATTCTGTTATATCTGTAGGAGAAGGAGTAAGAAGGGAGGAAGCAAGGTATAAAAAACAAACTCACAGATGGGTTATGAACACTAAAATAATTAACTAGATGAGTATCAAAATGAATGTAAAAATGTCAATCCAAAAATCTATTTCCTTGTATGGGGCAAGGAAGTAAAAATGCCCATGACTTTATGGAACAAGAAATTAGATTTGATAACTGTATGAGGTCTGTAATTGGAAAATAGAAAAAAATCCCATATTTCTTCAAACTATGTAATGGCTCCATCAAGAGATTTTTATGTTTTTCACTTCACCGGGGAGAAGTGTTACAACCATTTGCTGAAAGTGGTATGTTGTCTTTCTTGTGCCTTAGATTTATATATTAACAACTAAGGGTTTGGCCACACTTGCGAGTTACAGTGCATTAAAGGACCTCCAGGTGCACTAGCTCACTACCTGTCCACACTGGCAAGGCACGTAGAGCGCCCAGACTCCACGGCTAGAGCGCTCCTGGTACTCCACCTTGGCGAGTAGAATAACGTTTGATGCGCCCCCGCTGGAGCGCCCCAGCATCAGTGTTAACGAGGTGTTGCATTACTGCGCTCTGATCAGCCCCCGGAAATGTCCCATAATCCCCTTAAGTCAAGTGGCCACTCTTGTCATTGTTTTGGATATGCCCTTTGAAAGCTCCGTTTGACAGCCGGCATGCTTATCTGCTCCGAGACAAAGCAACCGTTACTGTGGAATGCTGTGTGTGAGAGAGAGAGAGAGAGAGGCAGGGCTGGAGGGGGGGGTCTGCTGCTGTCTGAACTTACAAGACTGCATGCTGACATGCTCTCAGCCCCCCAAAAACCCACTCTCTCTTCCCCCATATAGACACAACACGCTCCCTGTCACACTCCACCCCCTCCCCATTTGAAAAGCACGTTGCAGCCGCTTGCATGCTGGGATAGCTACACAATGCACTGCTCTCTGTGACCATTGCAAGAGCTGCTAATGTGGCCATGCCAGTGCGCTGTCAGCTGTCAGTGTGGACAGACTACAGCACTTTCCCTACTGCGCTCTATGAAGGCTGGTTTAACTCAAAGCGCTCTACATCTGTAAGTGTAGCCATGCCCTAAGATACATGCTTGGGGACCACTTTTTGTATTTATCTCAGGAGAAGGGAAATTCGGAACGGTTATTAAAAAAGGATAGTGTTACTGCTAGAAAATTTTTGAATAAGGGCCTATCAAATCTTAGAAATCAATACAAAATAATATAGCCTTTGTCATTTTCCAAATACCACCACAAACCCTTGTAGATGTCACTTTTTTCTGTAACGTGCTCAGTCCATTTGATAAATGTTAAAATGATTAAGTTCACACCTCTGACCTACAAAAATACCCAGGCCTATATAGTACACCATTGTTTCCCCTGTGTATCATTTGTACGATACCTTTGCCCTGTTGTGAATGTTTGACTGGAAATGATATTTCAGTGACTATTCCCACTTTGGAAAGAGTAAATTATCCAGTTAGGAAAAGACATCTATGCTGTAGAGTGTATCCCATATAAGAACATGCATATTATATATGATTAGACACAGAAAATCGTTATCCGAAAGCAAACTGCAGTCAGACCCAAATACATTCTGACATGTGTCTGTCTGAGTTCAAGGAGAGCAATACATTGAGTCCATGTTGTTCTGAAATGAGAAAGGTCTAGCTATGTTGTTTGAGTCCTGTTTTATGAGCAAATGAATTTATCTCTAGATATCAAACCTTGGGTGAGATAACCTTTCAATAGTACCCTTGAGCAAAACATTTCCTCTCCAAAAATCAATGGAGTGAATTGAACCGCATTAAGGTCTGTCTGATAAAACACAAGATTCAGTAACATTAAGCCTCCAAATACGTAAAGGGTGTATATAGTGAAAGAAATACTTCACATTTTTTATTTGTTCACCCTTGAGGAGTTATTGACTATTTTGTCAATACTGAGAATGTTTCCTTTTACATGAGAGCCAAGGACTTTTTTATATTGTGCTTTTAAAAAGGCGGAAAAAAGATTGTAATGGAAGCGCCTCATATTTTGATATTGTAACACCCACACATTTATCAGAGTCCTGTGATAGCAAACCAAGAAATGCTAAGGATACAGCGCTGAATCTCCATTTCCACTAACCATAAAGATGTATAGTTTCATAATACCTGTTTTATTTGCTTTCTATAAATAAAGTATGAAAATCTAAATCAAATCTCATTCAAATATTAAAATGTTAGAGTTTTATTTAAATACTCCTGTGAAAAGAAGATGCATGTGATAAGACATGATGCATTGCAGCAGGCTCTGCTGCATCAGTGATTTTGAGAGGGAGGCTTCCAGTAGCCCACTCTGCCTCCCTGGACCATACGGTTAAGGCCCCAACTCAGGCAGGTGGTTAGGCACATGCTTAATTTCAAGCGCATGTTTAAGTCCCAGTGAATTGAAGAGATACTTTCCTAAATCAGGCCTGAAGGAAGAAGAGAATGTTCTCTGAGAGAGCTTCTTACTGCAGTATTAAAACTATTTCTCTGTGTTAAACCATCTGTGCATAATGTATCGCTGTTTCTTAAGAAACAGTAGTTTTACTACTGGACTACTAGAAAAAATAATTTTACTATTCCAAAGAAAAATTCTCTAAGTTAAACGACTGAAAACAAAGGGTAGGAATAAATGGGCAGTTTTCAGAGTGGAGAGAAGTAAACAGGGGTGTCCCCCAGGGATCTGTACTGGGACCAACATTTTCACAAATGAACTGGAAAAAGGGGTAAACAGAGAGATGGCAAAATTTGCCAATGATACAAAACTACTCAAGATAGTTAAGTCCAAAGCAGACTGTGAAGAGTTATAAAGGGATCTCACAAAACTAGATGACTGGGTAGCAAAATGGCAGAGAAATTCAATGTTGATAAATGCAAAGTAATGCACATTGGAAAACCTAATCTCAACAAAATGATGTGGTTTAAATTAGCTCAAGAAAGAGATCTTGGAGTCATTGTGGATAGTTCTCTGAAAACATCCACTCAATGTGCAATGGCAGTCAAAAAAGCTAACAAAATATTAGAAACCATTAGGAAAGGGATAGATAATAAAGACAGAAAATATTATAATGCCACTACATAGATCCATGGTATGCCCATACTGTGACACTATACCCCATATTCTTCATAGTAATATTATTAGGATATGAGTATGGCATAATTATGATGTATTTTGTGCAAGATAAGGCATGTGAGATATCATTGAAAAGGTTATAAATTACTGAATATGATTATCCTACTTGTATGCAAATATCTGAAGTTAGGAATATTGTCTATGTATCTATTACAAATGTGTTTACACCTGGGGAATGTCCACTAGGCAAAAGACTGTCAGTCTAGATGGCTGACTGGGAAGGGCCATTAGGGAGAGCAATAGGTCTTAGAAGAAGAAGATAATCTCCCATTGGGGAGCCTTCCTGAGGTTGCTACAAACAGCCTCCAAGTCATGGCTGTGACCAGATCACTTGGTACTGGACTCCATCTTGGAATACCAGTGTTTTTCCACTATTTAAGGCAGGGGAGTGACATTATCGAGGTTCTTCACTGACAACCTGCCCAAAGGAGACTTTTGAAAACACCTGAGGAACTAGGACTGAACTGGGGGGAAGTGCTAGATCCAAGCTAGAGGGGTTTCTAGCCTGTGAAAGGAATACCTAGGGTTTTTAAGTTGCAAGCAAGGGCAGCTGACCCCTTAAGAATCTCTGCAACCAGCTTAAATCATCATTTAGGGTGAGAATTTACTACTCAAATTCAATCTCTTTACTATATTAAACTTAGATTGCATTTTTGTTTATTTGCTAGGTAACCTGTTTTAATCTGTTTGCTATCACTTAAAATCTATCTTTTGTAGTTAATAAATTTATTTTTGCTTTGTCTAAAACCAGTGTGTGTGGGAGTCATAACTTGTGGCAGAAAGCTGTGTATATTCCTCTCCACATCCAGGGAAGGGGCGAATTTCATGAACTTACATTGTACAATTCTCTGTGTAGCGCAAGACGGTATAATTTTGGGTTTACCCTCCAGAGGGGTGTGTGCCCTTGAGTAGCTGGGCAGTTCCTTAGCTGAAGCCTTCCCATGCAGAGCTGATCTCAGCATCTGTACGTAGCTGCAGCTGGGTGTGTCCTTACCTGTATGTGTGCTGGAGGAGGCTTGAAGACCTGTCACAGCAGCACAGTGTAAAGGGAGCCCAGGCTGGTGGGTCAGGCGGGCTCAGTGGTACCCCAATTCCAGGTGGCACCCCGGGGGTGAACCCATCACACACACGTTGAATGCTGCATGCATTCTCAAAAAAGATATATTGGAATTAGAAAAGGGCAACAAAAATAATTAACACCATGGAACAGCTTTTGTATGAGGAGAGATTAAAAAGACTAGGACTTTTCATCTTGGAAAAGAGACAATTAAGAGGAGATATGATAGAGGTCTATAAAATCATGACTGGAGTGGAGAGAGTGAATAAGGAAGTGTTATTTACTCCTTCTCATAACACAAGGGTTACCCAGTGAATATAATAGGCAGCAGGTTTAAAACAAACAAAAGGAAGTACTTCTTCACACAATGCATAGTCAACCAGTGGAACTCGTTTCCAGGGGATGTAGCGAAGGCCAAAGCTATAACAGGGTTCAAAAAAGAACTAGATAACTTCATGGAGGATAGGTCCATCAATGGCTATTAGCCAATATAGGCAGGGATGCAACCCCATGCTCTGGGTGTCCTTAGCCTCTGATTGCCAGAAGCTGGGAGTGGATGACAGGGGATGGATCACTCAATTGCCTGTACTGTTCCTTCCC